ATTCCTTGTAATGGAATTAAAGAAAAACCCAATTACATTTGAAATTACTTCAAGGAATTGAAAAAGTAATCGATTCCTTTGCTGTGGACTGAAGGAATTGATTCCTAATTACAATTCCTTGTAATCTGTAATTGGGAGTAATTTAATTCCTAAAGGAATCATTACGACCCAGCTCTGCGCGTCAGCAACAAAAAAATACAATTTTTATTAAACTGTTCAAAATCATTCAGTTTTTTATTAAGCTTGGAATTTGTATACGCATGATTCTATTTTTAGCAAGAGTTATGTATATTTGTGTAACAAACAATTGCAAAAATGGCTTGGCCCCTTTTTACTGGCACTCACTGTACCAGATGTATCTATTTATTTCCTTTTCACTATTATTTAAAGCAGTCAAAATTAGGTATGCTTAAATATTAATAGCACGAAATGTTTTCTAAAAAAATATTACCTTCACATCCGCCCTACTGACATCCACGAGTATTTTGCAGGTGTTATAAAAGCGATAATAAACCTTTGAAGAATCTTCCAGTTGGCAACTGCTTACGTTCGCCCGGCATTTTGCTACGCCAAAAATCCTTTAATACACTTAATGAGTTGGCTCGCTTTTGCCAAACAACCAGTTGTAAGGCGAGAACGCCCAATGCGACGAAGAAGGCCGTGGCGCGTGCAAGTGCACATGTGGGGGATGGTAAGAGAAATTGCATACAAATCTGTGCAATGCGTAAAGCCATTCGGGTAGGAATTACTCTTCTGCTAGAAAAGTACAAAGCTTCACGTAGCCATATTTCGTAAAACAATGAAAAAAAATATATATATACAGTTGTCCACAAAATAATAGGAGTGGGATATTTTAACCTGTTTTGGCTATTTGTCTTTAGTTTATTTAATGTTTCGTATTTTTTTGTAAAAGCCTAGCTGGTAATACAACAAACACCATATAAATTTACATTTTCAAGTTTGTACAAAAATTATAAAAATTCTGCAAATTTTCACCAAAATTTCAAACTATTTAACCAGAATCTTTAGAAAATATGTTGGTATGCAGTTTTGTAGCCCATTCAATTCTAGTCTGAAGAAGTGCAAGTTTCAAGCTGCTAAAAAATTCCGTTGATTTTTGAGAATTTTTTCGGTTGAAGGTGTTTCACGTTTTTTCCATACAAAGTATGTTCGACAATTTTCTTTTATATGGGGACAGTGCCAGCAAAAAAAATTGCCAAAAATCAACGGAATTTTTTAGCAGCTTGAAACTTGCACTTCTTCAGACTAGAATTGAATGGGCTATAAAACTGCATACCAGAATTTTCTCTGAAGATTCTGATTAAAAAGTTTGATATTTTGGTGAAAATTTACAGAATTTTAATAATTTTTGTACAAAGAATGAAATATGAATTTATTCGTTGTTTGTTGTATACCCAGCTTGACTTTTACATAAAAATAATATACATTAAGTAAACAAAAGGCAAATAGCAAAAACTGACCAAAATAACGCACTCCTATTATTTTGTGGACCACTGTATATATAACCACATACACTTAAAAGAATTCCATTCTCAAGTTAATCAAAGCACTAAATACCAAGGATAAACAATTGCACACGCATAATCATTGTTTTACTTTTCTACATACCATAAATCGAAAACTACGGTGTTTTACTATATTGTGATGGTGAAATACTTTGGGTTCCACTGTAAGCTGCAATGCCATCGCCTTCATTCAATTACTAATCCATACATATAAATACATGGCAGTTATATTAAAAACAGTTGTCACACACAATCATAAAATATAAATAAATTCACTAAATTAAAATCATCATAATTCTTTTATAATATGGGTTGGTTTTACGCATCATTTCTTCACCTGTTGTGAAATTGATTTAATTAAATAGTTCGAGTGAAAATTTATAACACTTATTATAGTCGACTTTAGGAAAGATTTTAATAAAAATACGTTGTCAATAAAAAAAATAATAATAAAGGTAATTCATTCCATGTTGGTACGGGACAAATCCTACGATTTTTTTCCATTTACCATTTTCCATGGAATGTTCAACCATCAGAGTTTTATTTATTTGAAAATAGTCATTACTTTACTGACAACACAATTTGTGGTTTTCACAACGGTGTAGTATCCCTGCAGTGAAAAGCTGAACCAGTATGCACAAATTCCAGTTAATGAACTATTAAAGGATAAATGTCATACCAGTTCGTTATGGTCTATAATTATACCAGTTCCTCGTAGAAAAAAGTAAACTAGTTGGTAGAAATTCTAGTTCGAAAACTGGTATTAATTGGGGAAGTCACACCAGTTCGTCAAGGACAATAATTATACCAGTCCCCGCAGTGAAATAACAAACCAGCCAGTATAAATACTAGTTCATTAACTAGTATGTGCTAAAGCGACGGCCTACCACTTCGGTGATTCGAACAACTTATGCCATCAGCAACATCTGTTTTTGAATAGCCACAACAAAAACTAAAACGTGGTTAATTGCTTCCATCACAAATGTCGGCTGTGGCGTCGAGTGAAGCCCAGCAGTGAAAACCCAAACCAGTTAGAAAAAATACTAGTTCATGAACTAGTATGTGCCTACCAGTTCGACATTTTCAAAGAGCTTAAACGTTCAGCGACATCTGCCTTTGATTTGCCAAAGCCTAAAATAAAACGCCATTAATTGGTTTTCTTACAAATGTCGGCGGTGGCGGCACGTGCAGACTACTGGTTCTGATTCTGGGATCGCAGGTTCGAGGCCGCTTGGAGGTGGTTCAGATTTTTAAAGTTAGATCAATGTATGTAGGAATAACTACTTCAATTTAAATATAAATAACAAACTTAAAAATCTAGTTGCCTTACAAAAAAAAAAGAAACAATATAAAAAAAATATTATTTTTTAATTAAATTTAAGAATAACAAAAAAAAATAAAATAAAAAAATTTCCCTTGTGTCAGGGCTTGAATCTGGTACCCCAGGGATACCACGCGAGTGCTTTGCTTTGTCGGCCATTGCGACTGTTGGAGAGCCGCGAGCAAAAAGGCATACTAATGCTTTTCATGGGGGATGAATTGGCAGACTATCTCATCAACTGGTATGATGCTACTGGTATTTCTACTACATCTCGTAGGACATCACAATGTTAAAAATACCAGTCGCTAACATTGAAAAAGGATACACCGTGAACTAGTTGGGCTGAAACGCAAACTGGTAGCATTCTGGTTCACAACTGGTAGCTTTCCCTGCAGGAATGTCGTAAATATTCAGCGGCTAAAACTATATTTAGGAAGTTCAGAAGATACCCTTGATATCATAGTTACCATGATAAATTAAAAAATAGTTGGTTGTGGTTTCTAGTTCTCTAAACATATAAATACATATTAACCGTTTAAAGTTTACGACATACACCAATACGACAATTGCGAAACCGTCGTGAACACCCCAAATGTTTACCAGTTAATTTTACCTATCGCGTTGCCGCATATTTTCAAAGGCTATGTGTTTAGACGCGCCTACTAACACCAAGCGCCTCCGCCTAGTCTGATGCATCCTCCGGAGTTTTTCGCGGACTCTGCATGGCTTACAACAATGCAGAGGTGGTAGTTGGCCAGTGGCCACAGTGCCTACCCACCACTTTTTAATCACTACGTCTGTTCAATGAGTGCACTAAAAGTGTAGAACAGTGCGAGTGGAACAACATCTGACATTTATCGTAAGAAAATACTTCTAGTGTAAAAAAACGCGTATAGTGCAAACCCTCATCGAACGCTGTTACCGCGGTACTGTAGTGCACCCAACGAACAAACCTACTATAGCTATCAATCAAACTCTTCAATTGGTTATGCTTTTTTGATAATTTCGGAACTTTAAAATGGCAAGAAAGTACTTTTCGTACTTTTGAACGGCTAAAGAAGAATTTTATATATCTTAAAGCTTAAACAGACGGCAGCGTTGATCCGGATCAACTCATTAATACGGAATTATCTCGGGAATTAACTGCAGTTGATCCGGATTAAGTCCTAGAGTTAATTCCCAAACTTAACTCGGATCAAGGGAATTTTCGACGACATCACTGACCAAAACTCAGAGAGCGTAGAATACAAAATTAGCATGGACATATATATACCTTTTCATTGGTAATGTAAACCGGATCACTGCAGCGTCTTCTAAGCAGAGATGGCCGCAATAAAAGAGACTTCGGCTGGTGTAAGACATTTTAACGAGGTGAATATTTATTCCGACAGCCAAGCAACTACCAAGGCTCTTGGCTCCTCTACGGTGCGTTCGAGAGCGGTCAAACAGTGTCTGACTTCATTATCGACCGCATCAGATTACTTCGGTATTAAGCTTATTTGGGTTCAAGGTCCCAGCTAATCGCCGCGATATTAATATTGTGAGGGAAAGTTACTTCTCCGTGTTAAATTTTTGGAAATAGTGATATCAATGTTTGCTAACTATTCATCGCCAAAAGTACATAAAAAAATATAAATTGGTACGAAATGCAGCTCAATTTGAAACACGATTTTTATAGCGCTGTATTTAATAATCTTGACTGGATTTTATTATATCATATGTTCCTTTGAAACTATCATAATAATGGCCTTATTGAATAAATCTGTATCACTAAGGATATGCAACTTTAATGCATTCGATTAATAAAAGCCAAATCATTTTTTCTCAATCCAATATTTTGTCTAACCGCATGGGTGTTTGGTTTTAAATAAATGCGCTCAATTAGGAATGGTTTGGTGTTTTGTCTTTCATGAAAGCTACATTTGTACATATGTATGTATTTATTTGAATTTTTCTTTCTTCATTTTACTTATACTTCTCTACAAAGCTTATCATTTCTATTTTTATTTCCGCATAGCTTTTTATCTTTTCATACCACAAAAGCCATTACTTATTAACAAATTTTAAGTTAAGATAATTTGTATTTATATATTCTTTTTGTACTTTTCATATCACTATCTTCATATCGCATTACTATGTTTGGCCCAATGAAGACAATATTTTGCCGCATAGTTTAACACTTGATCGTGCGAATTGGCGTAAGGAAGGTGACGATAAGCACCACGAAAAAGAAGCGGATAAAGACGTCGGTGGTGGTGTAGGCAGTAGCTATTATTTTATTGATAGCGCCCGCGTTGCTGATTATGATACTGATGATGATAACGCCGATGCTGATACTTATAGCGCGGTTGTATTGAGACGCCCAGCATCTACGCACAATAGAAACAGTAGCAGTAGAAGTATCAAAAACAATTATAGCAATCACTGTGATGTTAATATTATTAACAACAATAACAATAATCATAGCGATAACGCTAAACAACAGTACAAATTGCTACGTGCGAAGACAAGAGACTCACAAGAAGAACAGAAACAGCCACCACATAACAATTTAATACAGCTGTCAGCGGAGGATGGCGGCGATCGGGGCGAAAGCAATTTTGATTCCACATTCCGTTGGTCAGAGCAATGGACGCCGAATATAGCTGTTGCTAAGATACGCACCGCCATCTCTTGTACGTCTGGCGATTTGCGGGAAATGGATTTTCTATTGCCGCAAACAAGCATTGCAGCAGCAGCAACAGAAAAAATACAGCACAGCAAGTCGGTGAAAATGGCCACAACAATGCCATTAAGCACCTCTAATAACAACAACAGCAATAGTATTCAAAATAATAACAACAACGCGAATAACAAAATACTGAGGATGACCGCAGATAAGCAACGATGTAATGGCGTTGGCGACGGCAACGGCAACGGTTTGTTGATTGTGGCGCGTCAGGCGCGAAATTCAGCAGCACCGCAAAGTCAAATACAACGACCAATGCAGCCACAGGCTCTCGAACAGCTGAAAATGAATACCAACAAATCGATAGAATTAGGAACAAAGCCATCGAATTTAGCAATTTACCGACACTCGGCGCACGTGCGCACAAAAATAAATGGCAGCACCGCCAACGGTGGTAGTAGTAACAATTGTGGCAACACTCCGTATCGCAGTAAAATGTCTAAAAAACAACTAAAGTTGGCGCAAGCTCAGCTGGACAAATTGAATCAGATTAATTCGCACCAACATGGTATGCTAGCCTAAAATTAGGCAATAAGTTTTGCCAAAAGCACATAACCGCCCACTAAAAAGATGCATATTCATGCGATAAAAGACGTACTAAATATGCGTACTCGTGTATGGGACCTACTATGTGAGGCTGTAGATACATAAATGCTACTAATTTCTCTCTTCTTTACCTAAAACTTTTTTACCTGTGCGCTTTCACTAACCTTTTCGCTAAAACTAATATTACAAACATACAATTTATATACATACATAATTATGTATGTATATTCATCAAAGCTTGTCTTGAGTAATAAAACTAATGGTTTACGCATCCTTTTGTCTTAGCTCTATTTTCGGCTGTGGAACATGGACATTTGGACAAGGCGCGTACAATTCTTGAATCAACTGATGTCGATGTCAATAGGTGAGTAGCGTGCAATGCACTAACTAACAAAGTGTTTAGTAAGGAACCGTTATATTTATGGATTTAATTAGGGTTTAAATAAATGTATGTACATTAGGGAGCTCCAGAATCGGAGTACATACATATTTGGCGCACAATTTCTTTTATTTTGTAAACAAAGTACGTTTATATGATGATAACCCGTATCGAGATGATGACAACCCGTGTCGACCCGAAGTTGAGCTTTTGATTAAGAATTCGCGCTGAGAATACAACCGTCCTAAGTTTGCTTCTGTAACTGATGTAACCTACCAAACTAACAGCAACGAAATAGCAAACAAATAGCAACTAAAGGCCGGTTGTTCAATGTCTGGTTATCACAAATCGGAGGTAGAAGCTCCGGTTTATCGATCACATGTTATATGCATGATGTCGAAATCGTCGATAATGATGTTGAACTGGGAGGTAGTGATTGCCAGGCATTGAACAACCGGCGCTTAGGGTTGTAGACAACCTATTACCCAATTTTCGAAAAATTCCTTAAATGTAGTTTAGATTTGCGGTTAGATCCGGTCGTCGATTAAGGCCAATGTGGAGCCCATCCTATGCGTCCTCAGCAGCCAAATTTCCGTGAATGTCACGATGTCCATAGGCCAAAAGTATTTATAAGCTTTCTGAACTCCTTCAGTCTCAACTGATGAAGGACCACCATCAAGAAATAATTATACTTTTCACGATTTTCTTCCCTTGTGCATTAAAGATAAAAAAAGTAGTGGCACCTCGATTTGAAAGCGTACATTGACTTTTAGATGTTTTAAGAGTCTTCATACTGACGCCTGACAAGCTTTTGCTGTTTATTCTGCAACTACCCCTTCACTAATCATAAGTTACCTTACATATATGTATATCGCACCGAATACTCCTGCACAAGTTTTCTCCAGTCTAAGATCTTCTGCTTTTGCAGAACCTCATCGGTCAAGAAGGAAGATAAGAAATACATTCGATTATTGGAGTCAACAATTCTGAATTTAGAGGTCGAATTTTACAGAAAGGTTGCTCGTTTAAAAACTGTTGAATCCTAAGATATGCCATTGCGACCCATGGCAAGAGCTAGGGTACCGGTTATACCATCGGTAGCAGGGAAAATCTGGGAAGTGATTAATATGGAGCAAAAGGACTTATCAATACTCAAGACAGTTTTACTTCTCAACAAGGAAAGCTCAGGCATTGTGTCGAAGAGCGAAGTTAACAATATCTTCGGACAGATTGTCGTTGAAACTCTAGACAACTTTAGTATATTCATGGAGACTGACGATGCATCCAATATCACCAAGAGGTGGACTATTTTTTACGGTTTAAGTTCTTAACCAAAATTTCAACTTTAAGTCGGCACGACCCACAGTGGGGTAATCGAGCCTGAAACTGGGGCTCTATTCTGTAACTGTGAGAAAATGTAGTGTACACCGAGTGCAAAACTCACAACCAAAAACTCACCGACTAAAATTCAGTGAGTTTTTCGGAAGAGAAGTGTACACAATTTTGACAGTTAAAACTCATTATCACACATGCTGAATCGCAAAATGAAGAAGTGTACACAATTTTGACAGCTAAACTCATTCTCACTCTTCCTGAATCGCAAAATGAAGAGTGCACACAATTTTCAGTGTACACTCGAAAACTCACAGTTACTGAGATCAATTCATAAGTACGTTTAATTGAAAATATTTTCATGTATTTGTATAACTAGCACCAAATAAAGTAAAAAAAGACTAATCCGAAAACAGTTTAGTGTAAAATTTTTTTTTATTAAGGATGTGGCATTACCAAAGAGCGATAAAAATTAAATTTTAGTTGTTACTCTTATAAATAATTTGTATTAATAATGATAATTTGTCCGAATCATAATCATCATCAATTACAAAGTAAATATCATCACTATCATTATCATAATTATCCTCATCATTATCTTCATCACTATTTTCATGATCAACATCAGAATTACAGAAGTACTACTTTCAAAAGATTCATTCAGAGAGGAGATTAATTCACCCACGTTGCCAAGTAATATAATAACAACTGTTTTGTTAGTTTTTCATGAAAAAGTAAACATCTTTGTCTTTTATAGGTAACTTTTTATATACTAATAAACTCGAATTGTAAAAATTCTCCCTAGGTTTCTCTAAGCTTAGAAATTAGTTTAAAAAATTTCTTCGCTTGCGTCATTGCCATCGCTATCAACATCTTTATTATCACTACAGTTCCCCATAATTATCAAATGTTTTGCTTCTTTCGGTAAATCCTTCAATTTTTTTGGGGTAGTTTTCTCATATTTGATATAACAGGGTCGGAAGTAGAGATGGGCACGGGCCTAAATTTTCAGGCCCGGCCCGGCACGAGTGCAAAATCAACTTTCGAAAACACGCACGAGCCCGCACGTTAAGAATTCTATTGGGGCCCGGCCCGGCCCGGCCCGGCACGACGGGACACGCCCCAGCCCGGAAATAAAGAGCCAACTTTTATTGTATGTATACTAGACCGTTCGTTATTTTAACTATTTTTTTAAATATACAGTTTGCCGGGCTCAAAAAGATGTCTTTTGGTCTAAAAATAAGCTGTGCAAAATTTTATTCGAATATGATAACTCTAAGTACTGGCGCGTTGCATTTGAAAATTTAGAAAACCATATGCATTCTGGGAAAAAATTTTTTAACAAAATAGTTGAAAGTCGTGAATTTTATAGTCATTTGCCATGTAAAATAACCTACTCAATCTGAATATGAGGTCAAAAATTAAAAAAGTAGAATAGGTTTTAAGAATTTGCGAAATTATCGTTTTTTTCAAATTGAGAAAACAGCATTTTCAATTTTTTCCAAAAATATCCNACTGTTTTCTCAAAAAAACGATAATTTCGCAAATTCTTAAAACCTATTCTACTTTTTTAATTTTTGACCTCATATTCAGATTGTGTAGGTTATTTTACATGGCAAATGACTATAAAATTCACGACTGTCAACTATTTTGTTAAAAAATTTTTTCCCAGAATGCATATGGTTTTCTAAATTTTCAAATGCAACGCGCAAGTACTTAGAGTTATCATATTCGAATAAAATTTTGCACAGCTTATTTTTAGACCAAAACACATCTTTTTCCGCCCGGCAAACCAAATTTTATTTTTAACGAACGGTCTAATGTATACATATGTACATGTTTTTAATTTTGTGTTTATGTACAAATGTATATTTACTTAAGCGAATCATTTTTTTACATCAAAGATATTTATAATATATTTTCTGGGAAGTAGAAAAAGTGGAAGGTATTTTATGTACAGATATGTAAACAAAACTACTAAGTATCTTTCTTTTTCTATCGGTTTCCCAATATTTATTTTGTTGCTTTTCTCTTATCAAAAGAGTTTTAAATATGTACCATTTTTTTTATATAAAAACAAACGCTCATCTAAATTTGTGGTATTAGCAACGGGCTTTTTCGTGCTTATTCGTGCTTTTATGAAGTTTTACTGAACGCCCATGCACGCACGAGTTCGTGCTGACAGCAAATATTCCAGCCCGTACCCGCGGGCTTACGCAGGGGCCTGTGCCCATCTCTAGTCGGAAGTGATCAAAATTCTACTGAATATATCTTCATTCATCTCTTTTCTGCTGCACTTGCGAGGCAAGTAGAGAACATTTGTAGATCTTAGGGTCGTTGTTTCGTGCTACCAGACCTTCTTCTGACAATTGACCATAGGTAAGAAAGCGTGGGATACTAAAATAAAAGAATAAAATAATCGATTAATTAATCGTACAATTAATCAGAAGCCAAAAAAATTAATTGCAATTATTGAGAAATAATCGATTAATCGAATGAAACTATATTCTCCAAGGTATATGTAAATGAAAACACTTTTTATTTGATCCCACCTATCACAACTATATGTCTACGTACACGTATATAGTCAAAACCCCTTGTTTTTATCCTTTCTATAAAAAATAAAATAAAATCCTAGAACCACAGGAAAAGAAAAATAAGATCACTTTGTATTGCCTAAATACCTGAACAAGAAGGTTCCATTGCCGTTTTTGATATATCTTTACGTTACGTTTTTCACTTTGCGCACACTCGAAGGAAAAAGTAACGACTTTAAGAGTATATTGCAAGAAAACGGTACATTTTTGGGAAAGTATTTTATTGCATAGTGATGTAGAATTTTATCTTCTTTCATTTGGTACTAAAAACTTCTTTGTACTTTCAAATTCATTTTTTGAATTAATCTCCAACATCGATATCAATTACCCCACTGCGCGGCCTTTGTGGTTTTACCGTAAAGATAAACCTTTTAACACTGTTTAGCAAAAAAAAAAAATTTATCGGGTTTCATAAAAAAGTCCCCACATGTTCTGCTCCACCCTAATGTTTATGTATAGGTACACATCCATAAAGTTGATAATATTAAGTAGCTATAAATAATTAATAACTTCCTAATTTTTCCTTTATGCAGGTATTTTTAATGTTTTTATGTATGTATATTATTTATATTTCGGACTTCAACAGCATTAACACTGATGGACTGTCGGCTTTAGATGTAGCTGTTCTTAGCAATAATCGTTCGATGACGAAAATGCTCTTGCAGCGTGGCGCCATCGAGGGCACACAATGTAAGTAACATTGGTAACGTTATTTTTCCCAGTTGATCTCGGAAAATTTTCCCCCAAAAAAAAACAAAAATAAGCTACTAACTTGCCGCAAGTGTGATGTGCGCTGTAAAGCAATTATTACACAAAACATAAACAAAATCATTTATACGAACATTCTTTTAGCTTATTTAATTGGTTGTATTTTTTGTAGTTTCCACAGATACCATCGGAAATAAATTGAATGGTTTACTCAAAGATGCTGAATCTCGAATACAGGATTTGAGTGGCACATCGGATGGTGGTCTCTGTCAGCCCACATTTTCAACGCGACCGTCCATATCTAGCATTATTATTGGTAAGTTTTGCACCTGATTTCATATATATTTTCCATATATTTTGTTAGACTTAAAAATCAATTTCGTGTGTTCAAATGCCTAAGGGAAAGCTCAGATAAAACTTTGTCGCTTTGCGTGGCATTTCTAACTTTGCCAGAAAAGCTCAAAAAGTAGAAGGTATGTGACAATGAACGCCATGTGAGCACTTTTACACTGCTTCTTTACTCGTGAAAATTACTCTGAATTTAGCTAATATAATAGTAATTGTCAAGCTTTCTTTATATGGAAGAAAGTGCCTAACACCGTCAGCCAAACAACTGTTAAAAATCAGCGCGATTTTCTACCGTCTTGAAATTTGCACTTTAATCTACTAAAATTTAATGGGCTATAAAACTGCATACCTAAAATTTTGCTAGAAATTTTTAAAAATTTAACATGAATTTTAGTACTCTTGCTATGTTTAGGCATAGCTAACCCGAAAATTTTTCTGACGCTGAAATCTTATCGACGTAAAACACTCCATCTTTTTATCGTGATCCATCGTAATGGCTATAGATAAAGTTAACTGTGGCACGTTTAATTTAAATATTAAAACTTTTTGTTAGCTTTTCTGTAGATTTCCTTCCATATGCACAAATAACAAGAACTTTGCAGGCGAACAATGCCTGGAAGTAGTACTTTGGTTTATATGGGAATTAAGTGTCCTGCATTTGCATTGTAGCGTCATTTGTCGGCAGTCCCTTGGCCTACCTGATGGCTTCGCTACTTATTCAATTAATTCTTATTGAGAGCGTAGCCAACATTCAATAATCCCATTCACACATAATTGAAATATGAAAAAGAAACGAACTTTTCCCGCATTGAGTTTTCAACTCATAGCTCTTTCTTAATGGATTTGTCAATGTTACACAATGTATGCATTATACATATGTATGCATGTAGATCAAATATTGGAAAAATTTCAAATTCTCGTACATGACTATCTTCAATATTTGTAGTGTTTTCCCCCCATTACGATGCGCCTACTCTTTCTTTTTTGCCATGCAAGTAACCATTCATTTGTCCATTGATACATTTTTTTATTTCTATGTACATACATTTGTTTTCTATCGACAGGCAACACCGGCTCTTCTGTAACCGGCTGTACAGGCAACGAAATCGAAAAGCAAATAGGTATTTGGGAGCGTCGAGTGAAGGGTTTGCGACGCCTGCTGCTCGGTTGGGATCAGACGCGCCCACCGGATACACCCGCATCGGTAACGGTAGATGTGACAGGCGAGAATTCGATTGCTCTGCAGATACTTGAACCGTTCGAGGGTGCAATTGGCACTAAATTCAAAGGTAAGTTAAATAAAATAAAAACTAGCGGGCAATCATTCATGGACGGTGGAAAAATATGAGTTATTTGTAACGGTACTGCATGGCGCAAACGGCACGTAACATACATGTGGCTTGTACATATGGATTTGATTTGGTCTACATTTCCGGCCAAAGCCATGCAATTCAATTGATTTATTTACTTCATACATACATATGTATGCTTTTGTTTACTTTGTATGAATGCTTGCTTGTTTTCGCGGCCACAATTTGATACCTGTACCAACATAATACCACACTGCCATTGATAACTACAACATACATATGTGAAACAGTGCAATGGTCAACGCGTGCCGACTTCAGCAACATTGTGGGCGAACGCGAGCTGGTGGATTGGACAAGTTTTCACGGCAATATGGGCACGCAATGTCAGATCGGCGGGCTGACGCAGGGTCGTCGCTATTTTATACGCTCCGCTTGTGGAAATGTCAAAGGCTGGGGTCCTTACAAAACGTCAGTGCCAGCCAGCGTTGTGCCATCATGTAAGCTCATGAACAAAATTACTTATTAACATCTACTTGAATTTAAATATTTGTGGCACTGGATAGGTTGGCGGGATTTCAATAATCGTGAAGACCGCTATATAGGCCGTCAACGTGTTTTGGACAATCTATTTACGGCGGTGCGTCTTGCAAGGCCAGCTGATGTATCCGAACTGACATTGGACGTGTGCTCGGCACAACGACGCAATCCAAAGAAGAAGACTACCATCAAGCAATTATTTTCAGTGGCGTCGAAATTTCAAAAGCATCTAAGACGGTGAGTTTAACTAGTGAATGTATGTACATATATATGTTTAAATATATGTCGAGAAATGAGAACAGGTTGATTTAAGAAAGCTTTTGACAAAAGTTGTAACTGACCACTCATAAACATTTTCAGCAGTAATAACTACTATAAATGAGGGCTCAGGCCAAGCAGCGTCAAAGCGGCTACTTGTCAGGCGGGACCGAACATTAAATACCCGGTGCAAATATTAAATATATGATTTTCACCTTTCCGAAAGCTACCGCTACATGGTAAGCCGGGGTGTATCAATTTTGAGTAAATTAGCGTCCTTAAATATATTGACGTTTCAAGCATTTATAAAATTTACCGTTATATGAAAAGCCATAATTTTAGTCCGATTTCAATAATTTTCATCGTTTTGCTTTCATGTAGCAAGCATAATAAAAATACCGAGTTTGGTACAAATTGGTAGAACGGTTACCGAGATACATATATGTGATCATAAGTGGGCGGTGCCACGCCCATTTTTCAAAATTTAATTATAGACGTATTTCCTGGTAAGGAATTGTTGCAAGCATCAATTTTGAATAAATTGGCTTTAATATTTACTGATTTATCGAAGATTTCGTATTTCTCCAAATTACCGTTATATGAGATGTGGGCGTGGTTATTATCCGATTTTAAAAATTTTCTTCCATTTGGTATCCTGTACCAAGGCCAATAACTGTGCCAAGTTTGGAAGAAATCGGTGCAGCGGTTGCCAAGATATACACATGTAACCATAAGTGGGCGTGGCTACGCCCATTTTTCAAAAATTTATAACATTCTTATTTTTCGTCTAAAAGTTATTGTAAATATCAATTTTGAGTGAATAATCTTCAGTAGTTACTAAAATATCGCAGTTTTCGTATTTCTGAAAATTACCGTTATATGGGAGGTAGGCGTGGTTATTGTCCGATTTTGCCCATTTTCAATACCATCCGTCCTACGCCCCAAAGAAGTACACGTACCAAGTTTCGTTACGATATCTTAATTTTTACTCGAGTTATCGTTCGCACAGACGGACGGACAGACAGTCACCGCTTAATCGATTTCTCTTTTCATCCTGATCATTTATGTATACATTTGTCTATATCTATCTCGATTCGTTTTGCCTGTTACAAACAACCGTTATGTGAACAAAGTTATAATACCCTTGTGCACAAGTGCGCTCGGGTATAAAAAAATGGATTCACCAGATTATGAATACTTTGCATCAAGCTCTATATTGAATACCTTTTTAAAGAAGAAGAAAGAGTTTAGAATTTATCAAATAAATATAAAAGGTATGGAATTTGGTGATTTTTTTATCCCAAAAAGCCGCCTTTGTACCTTTTTTCAACTAAAATTTTCTATTTCTAAAGTTTATACAACTGGTTTATCTTATTTCGGCATTGTACTTTTGCTTTATAAATTTGGTCCTTATTTTATTGCTAAATGGAAAGGATTAAACAATAGTAGCACCGCTTTTGGCACTTTAATTTTTCTTTTTTATCCCTGTTAAAAATTGGCGTTCGCGCATTGATCTGCTTTACTCTCGGCTCCGATTAGCTTCCACTCTGCGGGGTCTGTGCGATCTTGTACGAAATTTTGTACACAAAGATTTAGAGCTTATTTCTAGCAGTCACCATCTTTACCTTCGGCTCGGCTTTCAGGTTTTAACTCTACGAGTGCTCTAAGGGTTGTTCAAGAATGTCGAACATATTTGTGTTTAATGTGATTTCGCTCTCTAATCTCTTTCGCCTTTTTCTTATTTCTAGCGGCATCTATCTAGCATGCGTTATTTACTGCGAGGATAAAGTGCTGGTCACTAGCGAAGATTTCTTGCCCGTAATTGAGATCGACGAGACATATCCAGGTAGTCTGCATAGTGACTACCACTGGCTAATGAAGGTAAGTGTATCTTCGCGCAGTTTACATATGTATATCCACACACATCCTTTATTTTGTTAGGTTGCTTGTACTTGGGATGATGTAAGGTCCCTGCGCACCGATATGGAGCGAAACCTTACATCTGCTGTGCATTTTCGTACCAAACTCCTATCGGCTGTTTGTCAAATGCAATCGACGCTTGGCCTCAACGACTTGGGCCAGTTGTTTTATAAGCCGCTACGCGACTCCCATGGCACCGTTGTGCTCACTTGCATTCAAGCTGTGAAAAGCCAGAAAACTGTATCCATACTCAATTCCCGTTGGATGCCGTTAAATAAGCTACAGAAAAAGATTGTGACGCTGCTGGAGGATTATAATATCAATGAGATGTTAATTTCTTCCATTAGCGAACAGATACACTACCATCAAGCGTCAACGCAAAGATTAAGTCCAGGTCTATATTTAGGCTACTTGAAAATGCAGTGCTCCATGGACCAGATACAAGTCGTTGTGCCTGTGAAGACACCTAATGTGCTGCCGCATTGTAAGGTGCGTGACAACAGTCACATCACCGCCGACGAGTGGCAAATCCTGAAGCGAAATCGTTCTTCTAGTAGCGGCAGTCGCAGCAGCAGTCCGCTTAATATGGCGCTTGAGTTCAACACAAGCTCAGACGCGACCACCGAGGGACAACGACTATTTCTCTATGACCTCACTAATGCTGCACATAAGTTGTTCGCCTACATGAATATTAAGCCAGAGGATGCCAAAACGCATCGACTCTATGACATCGAAGTTATTGAGCATAGCAAAGACATAAGCTTTCTAATTATCTGTCCTGCGGTAGAGCTCACCTGTGCAGTGCCTGGCCAGTCAGAGTTGCTGCTGCAACGCGACGATCTCGCCAGCCTCAGCATACAGGCGTTCGAGATGATACACCTGCGCACTTACCAACCTGGCATCATTCAAAAGTACGCACGCCTCTCTTGCATATTGGAACTGGACACAGCTTTGGCTACTCATTCGCAACGCGAAGCCTTTTCCACCAGTGAGCTACAAACGGCCAAAGAGCGCTTGGCTAAACTTCACGAGCTGTCGGCGAACTTGAATGCAGTGTGGAAGAGCGTGCGCTGGCTAATGGACGTGATAGCGTTTGCGCGCGACAAAAACACGCAGTCGTCGGAGGTCATGAAGGATATACTGGCCTATGGCAATGGCAAGGGCAGTGGGAGTGAGGAACGTGTAGCGGACAAGCAATTGCTGCAACTGCCAACGCGCGATGCCAAATACACAAAGAGTTCGGGTCGTGGTAGCTGGCCGGGGCCAGGCGCCAATTCGCAAGGTTCCAGCAACAACTGCCTGGCTGCCGAGCATTCGAAGTCGGAGCAAAATCTCGGACGCAGCGCAATCACAACTACCTCGAGCTCCAGCATCGCGCCGCCTCAACAATCCGCCACCAAGTCGCACAGCAGCAGCGGTGATTCCCGTAAAACGGTGAGTTCGACGGGTACGCAACAGTTGCTACAGGTAGGCATAGGCGGCTACACTAGCTCGGACATTTCATTGCGTAAAAATAGCGGTGACTCAATGACCTCGTCGCAATATACAACGCGCAGTTATTATTCAGGTGCGGAGTCAGCTCTTGGCAGTAATAACGAACTAGGGCAGTTATTTGCCATACCGCCTTCGCGTTCCGATGACACGCTGGCACTGGGCAGCTTGGATGTGGGAAAGCACACACAATCCACGTCCGGGCAACGTAAACGCACTAGCTCTAACATAACACAACATGTTACAACACCATCGCCTTTGAGCACCACTGCGCACTGCTCTAGCTCAGCACCCTACTTACCCACCGGCTCCAATCTGTCACTGAAGAACTCATCCAGCTCGGACTATGACATCAAAGCGTCCAAGATCAGTAGTCAACCGAAAGCTGAGCAATGCATTGGAGGCAAAGTGAAGGCTGCTTCCAGTGCAAATTTACGGGATGGCGGTCTTTACCTAAAGACAACGGTTGCGACGCTGCCGAGTGATACGAAAGCAATAAGCAGCGAAGCAGCCGCCATAAGTGCACCACCGGCAACAACAGCAAAAACTGCCTCAATTAAAAGTATATCGCGACAGAGCAGCGAAGAGGATACGGCGAGTGGTTCCAGTCACACCTCCGAACAGGCAACAAGCGCCACCGGTCCAGCGGCCAGTTCGGGTATTATACAAGTTTATACCGCATATAATACAGGTCTAGCCAGCGGTACCAGTCTCAAGCTTCATGTTACACCAAAAACAACAGCGCGCGAAGTTATCAACTTGGTGGTGAAGCAGTTGAATATGGCAGCGGTGCTGAAAGGCAATAATGGACCCATCTACACGGCAGAAATGCTGGATAACTTTTGTTTGGTAGCGGTTATTGGGGCGCGAGAACGCTGCTTGCGTGATGACTTCAAGCCACTACAGCTACAAAATCCTTGGCGCAAAGGCAGATTGTATGTACGACAAAAACACGAGCTATTAGCGGCAATTGAACATGCAAATAGAAAGTCGCATCTGATCTGAGCAGGAAAGTAAAATACAAACATGTAAAAAATCGATGTTTGGACAAAAAACTAGAATTCAGTAAACGAGCGATGCGACAGTGTGTAGCATTACCGCGAGGCAATCAATGTTAGCAAATGTTCCTTTCCTTAGTTAATGCGCATAAAATTATTCAACAAGCGCTACCAAGTTGATTATACTTATTTGACTTGGATATAGTAGGGTAAGAAAATAACAGCGGTTGAAAATCGTATACAATGAGTAACGGACTATTTAGATCCGTTTATATCGGACGTGTACGTACGTATGTACAGTGAGGCCGAAATTTCGCAAGGCAAAAGGAATCTGCAAATTCTACGTTATTATGATTTGGCATAGTATGTTCTCTATGTACATACATGAACAATACATCTTATTCGTGTTTTAGGAGAAGTCAAATTCTTTACATACATTAGAAGTCAAAATTTTGTTTCGGCGACTTACTAGTAATTCTGAACAAAAAAGTCCAGGCGAGCATAGTTATAAATTGAATTTCGAACCTCCTAGTTTTTAATTTTTGTTTTAATCCTCATGCATAAACATATGTACATATATACACTGGCGGTCAAAAGTGAGTGCATTGTGTTTTTTTTTAATATTTGCAACGTTTTTCAAGTTAAAATTTTTTTTGTTATTTTTTATCAAAACCACATAAATCAAACAAATTTTCGTCTAAATTTTTAACTTTTTAATTTTACTACGCAGATAGATCGGTTTTTTTAATTCTAGTAAAAGTGTGCTCTGCCAATCCACAAGAAAGGCGACCCCGCCATACGCGCCAACTACCGCGGAATTAGCCTTCTAAGCATAGGTTACAAGGTCTTATCGAGCGTATTGTGCGAAAGACTGAAGCCCACCGTCAACGAGCTGATTGGACCTTATCAGTGTGGCTTTAGGCCTGGAAAATCCACCATAGATCAGGTATTCACAATACGCCAAATCTTGGAAAAGACCCGCGAGAATAGGATCGACACACACCATCTATTTGTCGATTTCAAAGCCGCTTTCGACAGCACGAAGAGAAGTTGCCTTTATGCCGCGATGTCTGAATTTGGTATCCCCGC